TTAATATCCAAATATAATAACATGACTATCAAATATCAGAGGAAGTGAAGTAGAATTAACTGATATTTCATATTAGGTATTATCTATAGTTGATAGGTCAGTAAGTAGAGATCATTACCTAAAGTTATGAAAGTACCACTAGAAGAGATAAAAATTGAAATGGTTAAAGGAGGTTTCCTCTCATGAGTGGGTCTGGGGATGTAAAGTGATAGGGCCCAATCCATCACTTTCCATCATAAACTCTCCTGTAGAATTTGGTCTGGTGCATCTTGTAATTTGATACAAGTGAAAAATTTTTAAAAAGATTATTAATAACACTTAAGCTTGAAACAAGTACTCATATGAAATAGGAGAATAAAATTGTATATATCTAAATGAATTTTAAAAGGGGATGCGTGAACAACTGCTTATAAAAAATAATACAATGGAGGGTTAAAAATGTACCCAGAGAGGGCAATATTTAAAGCACTGATGCTTTTAATATCTAGTAGTAAATACGGAAATATTGCTCACTCTTGGAAAGTTCTACTTTATAGCGAATCTAAAACTCCAGTACTAAAATTTCTGATCATTTAATTCTAACCTTGGTTTAAAAAAAAGACAGAAATGGTGTGATCTTATATAGAATGATATGAGATATATAGGTCTTATACAAAATGATGTAGCAAACAGCTATTTGGCAACAGCTAGTTAGTCATTCTACCAGCCAGATTTCTTTTAGATTAACAGTCCCAGAAATGCAGTGTAGGATGATGGAAGGTATTCATGTTTTGGAGTCTGGAGCTTAATGCTGAGCCTAATCTTCTGAGCCATATGAACTTGGGAAATATTTTGTATCTTGCTTTACTCCTCTGAAAAATGAATTTCTTTCAGATCATTTATTGAGCACCTAATACAGAGTAAGGAAAATGTTATTTTATATAATTCTTGTAGTAACTTTATGAGCTAGAAATTATGTTCCTCATGATTTTTCCACTTCTTCTCTTAGTCTCTTGTGTTATTTTCAGAAATAAATGAAATAATTGTAAAAAATGCCTATGAGTTTTTCTCCTCTTTTGTCCCTTCTCAGGAATTTTGGGAAAATGCAAATATTTAAAATAGAAAAAACAGTTTGTTGTCTCTTTTCTTTGGATCTGCAGAGGTTCCACAACAAAAGAGATGGGAATAGAGGTAAATTTAGTACATTTCCAAGGATTTAGTTGTGCTGGAAATGTCCAGACCCCCTGCAGGTCTTTAGCCACAAGATTGCATCACCTATCATAAAACTCTAAAGCTGTGTCTTTGTACTGAGTTCACATTTACAGTATTAATAATGCCTTCAGCACAAGTCATTTCCAGGGAATTAAGTCCTTGCAGTCAGTGGGTTAAATCCCCATGAAATAACCTGCAGGTGACCCAGTTGCATTGATCTCAAGTACAGAATTTCAGATCAATAGATTCAGTACTTGGATTCTGAAATATAAAACAATTGCCAGTGTTTTTGTTACCCCAATGGGTGTTATCAGACAGGGGATCGCTGTGGTAATTGCAGGTTCTTATCTTATTAATGTTTGTTTTTGGTCCAAAAAGAAACTGCTTAAAAAAGTAAATGCCTTCTGTTCCCTTTCTTTGGAATATGCAATGATGACTTGCAAACATATAATAAAAATTAACAGTATTTCAAATAGCACAAATGGTCATGAATTGCTTGTACATGAAATAGTTCCTCTTCAGAGGCAAAGCATTCCAGTTGGATGTAAAATTCTTTTTGGTCTGTTCACCTTTTAAGTCTGTCATGAAAGGGTAACAGAAGATCTCTCAACTTGGGGCCAAATAAAAATGTGGAGCCTTCGCTGGGCTTGGGGTAGTGAGACAGAAAAGGAAAATGTTATAGTTGCATGAACCATGACATGGACTGGCACAGTGTTTTGCCAGTGTCTAATCAAAGACCAGGCACCACTTCAAGCATTTACACAAACAGAGGGAATTATTTTGACACAGAGAACTGGTTACTCGTGTGATGAAGAAGCTGAGAGCCAAATAAGGAAGAGTGAAGTAACCAGGAAACTAGCCCCTGCAGAAAGCCAGCACCAGGCTGGAGGGGCAAAGGGAACAGGGTCCACATCACCAGCTGAAAGCCGGAACCAGATTGGGCTTGTCCAGCCAAAGCTGAAGACATGGACGAGATGGATCCTCAGGTAGAGAAGCTACCTGAGGCAGATGGGTGGGCAAGGCAGACAGGATGGAGGATAAACTAAAAAGCTGATTGGTCTTTTCTTTCCCCTCTCTCTTCCATCTACTGCCAGTGGCTTCCACTGATTGCAGCAGCAGGAAGCCAGCCCTCAAGAGCCCCTCTGAAACACAGCTGGCTGAGGTCAACCTTCCAATGGTACAGAGCAAAGAAGTGAAGGATGAAGATGGCCAAAGAGGCCCAGAACCAGCATATACGGACATCTCCTCTGGGGAGGTACTTTACCTGGCTGGTTCCTTTTCATAAAAAGCTAAGAATTCACGGATGGGTCCGTCGAGCTTCTCACAGTGTAGATTTCACAAGAGGCAGTGAGAGCTACGATAAAGCCCAGCACCTCCCTGGGACTGGATAGGAACGTCTTTATAGTTTTGAAAGTTTTTTCACTCCATTAGTGCACAGTGGGGTTAAAGTGCCTCCTCCGATGTGGCTTCGCCATTTCCAAGGAACTACATGACCATTTGCCCATTGCTTAAGGTTATTTAAATACGAGCCACAGCTTTGAGCTGACGTAAGAACACAAGAACATCAAGAGCATGACAAAAGTGCATAGGTTAGCAAACACATGTCCCTGTCCGACATCATATTTCTCAGCCATATTACCCACTTGGTTAGTCTCCATTTTACGTATTAAAAATACTAATACTACATGAGTTAGGTAAGGCAAGCTTGCTGAGATGGGCTCTTCTTGCCTTGAACAGTGAAGGAAAACTCCCAGCTCTTTGTCTCTACATTACTCTAACAGAGCTCATCTGGAGGAACACTGTTAGCACTTGTACAGTATCTTACATTTTTAAGGGACTTTCTAAAGCATTATCTCATTCATTCTCACCATAACCAATTTTATAGACATAGGAAAAAATCTTGCAATAGCTATCAGTCATAATATCAGCCTGCCTACCTTAACTCTGCCTTGTTCGGCTCTGATCATGACAGTGTTTCTGAAATCCTGTCCAGTTTAGAGTTGAGCATAGGACAGTAAGTGCAGAGATGGTCCTACTCTTTACGGGAATACAAAGGACACATCCTCACCTGGGTTTGAGGACCTGCTTCCCATCTCTCTTAGGCTAAGGGAATGGCTTGCCTAACATCTTCAGAATCAAGTTAATGAAACGAAGCTTTAGTGATGGGTATCCAATATCACAGCCCTCAAATCAACACATTGTACAAGTATGCTTCCAAATGAGACAACTCTCACTTGAAAATATGGAGACCATGCTGTGAAATTTGTGTGACTTCTTTGAACATATATATAACCTGAGATAGGTACCTCAATGCAAGAGCCCCCGATTTCTTACCAGAACATTGTCCTAGCATTGTAGGCGATCGTCAATGCTTGTGTATTCCAAGACAATATCAGAATAAGCTGTTACAGAAATTCATGCTTGTTTATTTTTTCTTTATTCCTCCTTTTAAAAAGACATTAAGAGGGCCTGGGAACTATAAAATACTGTCCTTCTTGAGAAGCAGAGGGCTCATGAAATAAAAAGTCTGACAGGGGATAAGAGTTCCAGCCTCAATTCAAAAGGCACAGTTAAAGCATTACTACTCCGTTCAACAGCAAAGACAACAACAACTGAAACTGTGAGCAGGCAGCAAGAGAAAGAACTGGGGAGAATAAACTCTGCTTTATTCCTCTTGATATCATTTTGCCAGAGCTTTAAACAAGCGTGAAGACTTTAGTGAAATGAAAAACAGAAAAAAAGGGCATATTGAGGGGCTGTTTCCAACACGGGCTCCCTAAATTCCCACTCCCCCTAATGGGAACACTGTACACACAGCCATCCAAGATCAGACCTCCTAAGTAGAGCATTTTTTTTTCTTGGAGATTTTTCTCATTTGGACTTTAATTAAGCTCCTGCCAGGCTTGCAAGCTTTTTAATTTTACCTTTCTTTCTTCTTCCCTTTCCTCCTTGAATCAGCTTGCTTGCCAGGAAACTTTTTTCAAGCTGTCACAATCATAGTAAGTATACCCTGAGATAAGAAATTTCGAGATGCACTAGAAGTTGCTGCTCCATGAATCAACAGCAGAAGTTTCCTTGCATCTGGAAAGATTGTCATTCATTCATTCATTCATTTTTACTTAAGAATGTGTCTGTATATGTGTTGTGAATGAGAAAATGATAGGAAGGAAGCTTCGAGGAGTGCACGACCACTACTGGCTAGGAAGAGATAGAACCCAACCTCCCGGAAAGCCACCAGTTTAACAGAAGAAACTCACTTTTACTTAATTTAGTAGTCGCACTATTTGTAAGCAAATTGTAGCCAACTTTTTACTAGTGTTGGTGGGTAAGGGTGAACAAGCCTAGAGAAGGTGATGCTTCAGTTGATGATTTAACACCTCGTTAATGAAATACAATATTTAATTCACTTTGGTTCTTTCCCCAAATCCCGTTTTACTCAGTTAAACTCACTGTGATTTGGAAAAAGTACAAAGGTAGGGGCTACAGATGTGAAAGATGACCCCTGTAAAGCAGACTGCATGAAAAACCATTTTCATTTAAGGTAGATGAGTTGAAAACTGGCCACCCACCCTAAATGGGATGCCTTCTTTTTTCTTAATTTTTAAAAATACTCAGATAATAGTGCAAGGCTAGAAGTAAGAATAACAGAATAAGCCATCAACAACACAAGAACTAAAATGAAAGCCGTGGGGTCTCGGGGATATTGTTATCTCCATGATTGCTATTACCATCAATCTTATCATTTGCTTAATAATAATTCCATGCCACCAGGTTATTCCGCCAACCGCTCCTGTCTGTGAGGTACTTACTGATTGCTTCCACAAACCGCTCAAAGAAGCTGTAAGGGAAGAGCGGCTCAGGCAGCTCCCGGAAAAACATCTTCAGTGCTCCGGTGACAACGTGGATGTCCTCCCACTGGCTGTCGTCCAAATTCAGCTTCTCTTCTGGGAAAACACGAGGAGAAATGGAACAACTGGTTTTAATGAAACAATTACAAGACACTAATTATTATGTTAATGTTTGCCTACTATCATCAGCAACCGTTAACAGCCTTCTGCACCTAGAGGTTTGGTGCTGTGCATGTTTTTTTTTTCCCCTCCTTTTTTCCATAGGAAGGGAACATTTTCAATGGAATACCATCTGTAGGAATGCAGTGAACAAAAAAACAAGAGACACAAAGAGACAGTGCCATTGACACAGTATGTCAGATACATTTATTCCCATAATGCATCAGTATGAAAATTAGCATCACCGCTCAACGTGATTCAAAGCTATTTGGTTTTGAGGCCGAGGGGCTAAGAGTTGCCAATGATGGCCGGCTCAAGGGACCGGCCTAAAGGCCTTGATGAGCCAACAGGAGACATATGCTAAACATGGCAATAGAAAATGAGTTATTGCTTTACATGTGTTAGCCTTGCTATGTACAAGGGAATAATGGTTAACACTTTTTCCCTTTTTTGCTGAATATAAAGTCAGCAAGGAATAGAATACTGAGTGAGAAAGGATATTAATTCCTCCTTACTGCTTCAAAAGTATCTTTTTTTTTCAGTTTTCATCTCAGTGAGGAAAATGTGCCCAGCAACAATATTAGACAGACCCCTGTTGGCCTACGTAGGCTATGCAAAGCTGTCAAAAAAGATAACACACTAAAGACAAACCACAAGTGCTTACCAACTCCGCTTAGAAACAACGGAAATGTTTGCTTGGGAAGCTTGAGTGAGTTGAGACATTTAAATATTAAAGAAAATAAAGCCCACAGTAAAGTTCTTAAAAGAAATAAAGAGACGCTGGGCTGTTATTTACTTCCTTTTCGTCTTCAGTAGGAAAGTCTGGAGTCATTCTCACCCCAAAAGTGGATGCAATAGGGTCTGAAAGTGACATCTTTACACACAACTAAAAGGATGCCAGCACAAAAGCATTGCTGCTCAGCCACAGTGTTTGTCTTTCTGAATGTACAGCATAGACAGATTTTGGGTTCCGGGCTTAATGTAAACTAAATCTAATCATTTTGGGCAACCTGGGGGTTAACTGCAAAGCTGAGGATCCTGGCAAGAACTTAATAGGTATTTGGTGAAATGGAATTGTGCTTCTTTACCGATGTCTTGGGCTCACATTCAGATGCCTGCTTGTGTCAGTTTTATGAATGCAGAGGAGAATTCACACCAAAAATGTAAGAAAAGCTGAGAATTGTCACCGTAGGGAATCTCTGCATGGGCTGTTTTGCTAATAGTGTTCATGTCCTTTTAAAAATACTAGCCGAAATCTTTATCAGATCTTTTTTTTTTCCCTAAATGGATTATTATTCCCAGGGCTAGTAAGTGACGCTCCTGCTCAATAGGATGTTTGCAAAGAGAGGGGATGAAGGTGAATCTGTTTGTTTCAGATGGCTATTTTCTTCTTTCCTTTCAGTCTTCATTCCTACCTCAATCATAACACAATAATCTGATCCACAACAAAATCAGCAGAGGAGACCTTCTTTCTGCTCTGCAATCATTTTTGATTGATTGTATTTCAACAATTAGTCTTTTATTTGGCTACACACTATTGAAATAGGACGACAGCATCTTAGCAGGCCAGCTTTAAACAGTCAACTGTTAACAATAGCATCAAAAAGGGAGACCTGATGGGGTTTACTGTCACTTTAAAGAACGGGGTTTTCACATTGTTGAAATCTGTCAGATATTTTGAAATGTCCTTCTCACTATGGTGCCACACCCCCTGCGTGCCCTTATAATAAAATTGGTTTTACTCCTGATTAAATCATTTTCTCCCTACCCACTACCATACTTCTCATAATGGACCTGTGCGCTCTACAGCTGGTGTTCTTCCCATGGTACCAATTCTTACTTTATCTTTTAAGCACTTTGCTGCTAAGATCTCATGCAGAGTGCTTATGTTTTGTTAAGAGCTTCATTCTTAGAGAAATAGCTTAACACATGTTCTAAAAATGTTGTACAACTTATTGCTTAAAACACATTTAGGAAATGTATAAGTACGGTAGCTTTGGCACTGAACTTTAAGTGGAAAACTAAATACACACATACACACATACACACACAACACACACACACACACACACACACGTACACACAACTATCTCTACTAAAAATGTATCACAGAAGTCCAACACAAAATGCCATTTTGGTGCATAAGTTTAAGATCGCCACAGGAAAGTGTTCAGCAGGTATAAAAGAGAATGATTTTACCTTAAAGCGAGGAAACAAGAACAAATAACTGCTTAACCAAAGGCAAATGCCAATGATGTTTGTCATGTCCACATAAACATCAACAAATTCAACTGATTGTGAAAATGAAATATTTCAATATATATAAAGAAGAAAATTTACCAAATAGTAAATACTATTTGATTATATCCACTCAGAATGTCATATAGTATCAATATCAACTTGTGTTACTTAAACATTCTTATCATCTAGTCTTTATTGAAAAAAAGACAATTTGTAGCTCCTCAACAAGTAGCTACACTAAACAGTATAGCAAGTAGTTGGAAAAGGGTCTTTTGGTCCATTATACCTCATTTTTATATTACGCTTTTTCATAACCAACCAAGGTTGAGTTTCCTTGTAAACCAGAGGGCTTGAAGGCATATTTTTCAAGGCCACTGTGATTTATCTACACATGCAGTTATGCCTGTATTTACACACCTTCTCATGAATTCAATCAGTTCTGAAGGAAAAGTGACCATAATCCAGTCTCAGTATTAGCAGATATCATTATAAACACATTTTGTAACATTTGATACACATTTTCTAACTAATCTGTTAGTAGTGATGATGCCTTACGTGTCTCCCTTTTTCAATAGAGCAGGACTTCTCAATAGTGAAGCACTATGGACACCTGGGGCTGAATCACTCTTTGTTGTGCGGGCTGTCTTGGGCATTCTAGGGTATTCTGTAGCATCCCTGGCCTCAGCCCCCTGGATGCCAGTAGCACTTCCCAGTGCTGCTGATGAAAAATATCTCCAGATATTGCCAAATACCTCCCGGTGGTGCAAAGTTATCTCCAGTTGAGAACCGCAACAATGGAGCCTGGAAGAGTCTACAAAAGTTACTCAATAAACATTGATTTATGAAGTTTACCTTATGTAGGCAGATAACTAGAAAATCAGGCATGTGCATATTGAGATTTCTTTTCATATGAACTTAAGAGCTGGTAATTATTACTGATAACATCAAACAATTTTACAGCGCAAAGTTCACATGACTACATTTCAGGGTGTTTTGCCACAAAAGTGACAACCAACAACTATTTAGCTGCTGAACTATCCTAGGGACTGTGCTGTGCACTTGGCACTCATTACGTAACATAATTTTTTTCAATAAGACAGTGAGGTCCGTGCTATTGTTATCATCAGCTCCATTTTACAGAGAGGGAAAATGAGGCCTGGGTAGATTAAATAGCTTTTCCATGACTGACAAGCGATAAACCCAGGATAAGGAGCCAGGAAGCCTCCCCTCAAAACCACTACAGTCAGACTAAGCTTGACTGGCAGGAGCTGAAAGGAAAAAGGCCAAGAAATAGTAATTGCAAATGGTAGTAGATTGACCTTTACTTCAAAGATAGTGATTTTCACATTTTATCCCTAAATATCTTACTTGAGGCTATGCTTTTACCTGTAAACTGACTCTGATCTTTCATAATTAGTTATTTATAGAAGGAACATGTTCTTATATAAACAGATATAAAGCAAATTGGCAATGAAAAGAAACTGCATGAGGAATAGGACAGAAGATGGAGCAAACTGTTATGTGGTGATGGGGTGAAGAGGAAATGTGATAGAGTGAGCAAGAGATTACACAAAACACCAGGATCTACCACTAATTCATTGTCTATCTATTTATTTACTTGTGAAATGAAGATATTTAGAAGGACAGTTGTTGGTATCAAATGAGAAGATGTATCTGAAAAACATATTCAAGACGCCACTATGATGGGGAAGGTGAATAAAGGCCAAAAAGGCAAAATATATTAAGGATTAAAGCAGTGGAAACACTGAGCGAACATCATAAACCATCCTGGTTGTTTTAGGGGATTTACCTCAGTGTGACACAATTCATCACATGAGCCCAACAAAAACTTTACATGCTGGAGTCCAGTCCTGGAAAGGAGTCTGGTTGAATCAGGACACCTCATACTCATCACACTGATAATCTGTGCTGGTTTCTCCCAGCCCTCTAATTAAGCTGCTGTAAATTCACTTTGGTCATGGCTTTTGGCTTAAAGCATTTAAGCAGAATTGAAGATAGGTTAAGCTTCAGAATCCAAAGCCACTATGCGACTTTTATGATATCACAAAAAGTGTATTTAAAGATTGTATCCAAACACTCAAGTCCACTTTGAAATGTCCTTTCTTGAAAGGTTTTTGTGTATTTTATTATTTTTTAAAGCAGAAACACATATCTATAGCTAAAAGTTATTATATTTGAAAGAAAAAATTGACAATAACTATTAGGAATCATCTTTTTGAAAAAAGAGAATTGAAAGATGGATCTTTGATAGCCACACTAGGTCATGGTCCTTGCCATGGAAAAAGGCACGTATAAATGTCACTTTTTAATCACCACTTTCCTCTTGTATTAAATATTGCTCTATGGACTGGTGTAACCAGAAGTTGCAGTATCAGATCTGATTTTAACTAAACTCACTGTGTTAACTTAGTATTGGTTGAAATGCAGTTGAAGATAACTTGGACTATCCAGGAGCGAATAGTTACATAAGAATAAAGAGGTACTTCTTTGTGTGTTGAAAAATAAGTGCATTTTTACCTTGTAATTTTTTTCCATGGCACTTTTAAAGCCTTTGTCTAACTTTTATTTTACTGTTGTAATAAAAAAAAAAAAGAGGAGAAGACAGCCTAGATTTCCCAGGATATGGAGAGAATAGCTCTGATTTCATTAATATAGTGACAAGAACCTATTACAGA